AACAGCTATAAACACGAATGCAGCTTCTTATGTGAGATGATTGATCTTGATGGCTGCGACAACAACATGACTGATATCATGTTAGCAACCATTAGAGGTGCTGATGAGCAGTGTAATGATATTCGACACACTCAGTGGAGATCATGACCTGCAGTTGATAGAGCGTTATTGAGATGCCTCAATTGTCACAAATGGCCTGAATAAGACCTTCTTTACTGGTCTTTGGTGTCATCCATATATAAAGACAGAGAAATCTAAATACTACAACAATCAACAGCTAGAACGCAGCTCCAATCGCTGCCAAGCACAGCTCGAACGCAGCTCCAATCGCTGCCAAGCACAGCTCGAACGCAGCTCCATCGCTGCCCAACGCAGCTTATCAATCGCTGCCCAACGCAGCTTATCAACCGCTGCCCAACGCAGCTTAGATTTTTGATAATCAGATCAAGAGAGATTTCTTTTCATTAATCGGAGGGGGATCTTTCGATCAAATCTTCCAGAATCAGAAAAAGGAGGATTGACTCCTTACACAGTCTGGGAAATCAACAGACGGAGGAACTCTAAGCAATCGGTATTTAGTTTATTAACCGAATTATTTTCGGTTCCAACAACTCTATCATTAGAGTTTGTTACTTGTTCTGAATCACAAAACTCGTCAAGAGTTATCAACCAGACAAGACAGTTGTTCCAGTGAGTATAGATATTCGGATCGTCAACGAGAAGCAAACTCGACGCAAACAATCGAGGGAGGCATCTCATCGCTACCAAGAAGAACCCAGAATTAAACAAAGGAGAGAATCCCGATCATTCTCTTCTCTTTTGTAATCAGGAAATCCAATTGTAACTGAGATTAAAGGAATACAAATTAATTTTTCTTTTATTTCTTTTACTGCAAATTTTTTCACAAACAAGTGGCTGCTCCACTGTATAAAATTTCATCATCATCTGATGTGCTGACAACGCATCATTGAGATATTGATGGCTCTGAAGATTTTTTATTACCACTCTTCTTATTGTGCTAGCACTCCGATTTCACATACCCCTTTTTCCACAGTTGTAGCATTTTAATATTCTTACTTTTTGGTTTTGATCTACCATGGGTATGACTCCTACTAGAGCCACGTAGTGTTTTAAAAAATGTCCAGGGCGACCGCCTAGGCGCCC